GGGGGGGGCGCGCCCCGTCGCGCCCCCGGGAGCTGCCCCCTCGCAGCCGATGGGTGTGGCTGCCGCGGCGTCTCTGACTCCTGGAGCCGCGGCGCCGCCCCGCGTTCGCTGCCCGCCCCGGTCGGGGGTTGCGAGGACACGCCTCAGGCCTGCTCCTGCTGGTCCCACCGCTGGGCTGAGGGCCGCTTGGCCGCTTGAGTGCAGGGGTTAACTGCGGCTCGCGGGACCGAGGTGCCAAGTCGCGCGCAGGTGGAAACCCTGGTGTGCTGGGCAGCCGCAGGCGTGGGAGAATTGAAATCGAGCAGGAGTCGTCCGCACCATTCTCGCCTCGAGCGGCTGGAGTGGGCGACAAGGGCGCGTGGGCTGGAGGGAAGGAGCTGCAGCTCAGAAACAAGGCTGGTGTGACCGTGAGCTCACCCGGCAATCCTTTCTGGAGACAGGGAAGCTTTGACTTATTTACGAACATTTCATTAATTTTGCATTAATTTTTCCGTTTATTTTAAAACGGACCTCCACCCACTTCTTTCAAGAACAATACTAGGTAATGAATATTCCATGCTCAAGTGAATACTTGCTGCCCTCGTAGAATATTAGCCAGGCACTGTAGTGATCCATTAGATTAGGATAGGGACTCGCTTCAAAAATAAATTCATCTTAAATGTAAGGTTTCATCTTTCGCAGGGATGACAATGGTAAGTGAAATTATGATTCGCTTAGGGAACTTTAGACTGATTGTGCTTTATCATTAGTATTCTTTAGGATACACTTCCTAGAGATTGAGCGGGGTATGGTTTGTGGACCTGTAGATTTAATATAAAGTGAAGCCAGTTCAAGTTATGTAAAATACACCTTGCCTTGACAGTCAAGAGACCTGGGTTCTTGTTTTGCCCTAGTCCTGCCACTGAAGCCATGGGCAAATATTTAACCTCTCTGGACCTCGGTTTCCATATTTGTAGAATAAGGAGAAGGATATTTAGATGCCCAGAAAGCCCAGAACATTAGAGACTGTTCACTGCTGTATCCTTAACACCAAGTGTGTGATAGGCACGTTATAAATTTTTGTCACATAAAGTTCCTCCTATGATATGATAATGCATAATTAGTGCATTTCCTTAATTTTCCATCATAATTATTGTTTTTATTTTATTTATTTATTTATTTTGTCCTTTTTTTTTCTTTTTTTTTGTCCTTTTTGAGACCAGCCGCACCGCGCTCAGCCAGTGAGTGCTGTGAGCGCACCGGTCATCCCTATATAGGATCCGAACCGCTCCCAGCGCTGCACTCTCCCGAGTGCGCCACGGGCTCGGCCCATAATTATTGTTTTTAAAAAACTCTCTACATCTGGTAATGAAAGTAAAAATCAGATTAAGAGGAAGCTTTGTTTTCCTTGCTGCATCTTGAAAGTGAAAGATTACAGTATGTGGTATAATTACTAGATTAGTCCGTTTTTGAAAATAGTATTGGTTATGAAGGAGATGCTTCATCTTGGGAAAATGTGCTAGGCAGTATCCTTGAAAAAAGATGTAATTAGCTTAGAAAATTTTGAAATATATGAAGACGTTTGGGACACTCACAAGCAAAACATATGTATTCAAGGTGTTATTCTATTCTCTTTTGCTGTGCAGTGGTGTCACCTGCTCACTTTGTTGGAATCCCTCTCCAGCAAATACCAGTGACTCATGCTTATCATATATATATATATGTATATATACACTTGTCATCTCTCATTTTCAGGCAGACTCTTATTATACACACATAGAAGGTACTGCTAGCAGTCTTTTCTCTTGAACAGTGTTTGTTTACTATTTTTTTCCTAATTTTTTTAAGGTTTGTGTATTAGTCTGTTTCTGTTGCTTGTAACAAAATACCTGAAACTGGGTGTTTTATAAGAAAATGAAATTTATTTGCTTACCATTTCAGAGTCTAGGAAGTCCAAAGTCCAGGGAACACATCTGGTGAGGGTCTTGGTGTAGTGACAGTGACCCAGGGGTCTCACATTGCAAGATGGTGAAAGGGAGAGAGAGAGATAGCTCCTCCTGCACTCTCCTTTTAAAGCCCTCAGATCCATGCCTATGGCCACCATTTTTAATCCATTCACTAGGCATGGTCCTCTGAGTCTAATCACCTTTTCAAGGCCCCACCTAGCAATTACCATAATAGGATTACCCACTCTCCTAACAGTCACAGTGTGGTTTAAGTTTTGGGCGGACTCAACACAAAGCAGTTTCACCAAATGAATTGCTAATATTACATTTTTGAAAACCTTTTGTTATGGAAAAATTTAAATGTTTAAAAGTAAAATAGTTTAATCAACCACCATGAACCATCATCTAGCTTCAGTTCAACCCCAGGCCCATCTTGTTTAATCTTTTTATCTATCTACTCTCCCTTATCCTGGATTATTTTGAAGCAAATCCAAGACATCAATTCACCCATAAATATTTCAGTATTAAGGTTAATTTTTGTTATTTCCTAATTATTTTTTAGCTGGCCTGTAGACTTGTATTATTATTATTTTATTTATAATATTCTCAGTGGCAGACGTTTTCAGCCTGACCTTTTCCTGAGAAGCATGTGATATACTTTCCACAGGACTTGGCATATAATATGGTTCTTTGTCCACCATGGAATTAAATTAGAGATCAATAATGGAAAACTATCTGGAAAAAATTTTATATGTTTGGTCATTGAATAACACTATTGTGACTAACCCATAAGTCAAAGAAGAAATCATAAGAGAATTTAGAAAATATTTTGAACTGAATGAAGTGAAGACAACATATTTGTGGGATGCAGCTAAAGGAATACTTAGAAATTTATAGCACTGAACACCTCTACTAGTAAAAAGCAGTTTCAGCTTCTAACTTAAGAAACTGGAAAAAGGAGCTGGCCAGTTAGCTCAGTTGGTTAGAGCGGGACCTTGTAACACCAAGGTCAAGGGTTTGGATCCCCCTACTGGCCAGCTGCCAAAAAATTTTAAAAATAGAAAGAAACTAGAAAAAGAAGAGCAAATATAACTCAAAAAGAGTGGAGGAAAGGATATGATAAAGATCAGAGTGGAATTCAATGACGTATTAAAACAGTAGAGAAAGTAAGTGAAACCAAAAACTGGTTCTTTGAGGAAATCAACTAGATAAATCTCTGGGTGTGGAGGGGGAAGAGAGAAGATACAAATTACCAATAACAGGAATGAGAGGGTAAATATGACTATATATTCTACAGATGTTAAAAAGGGTAATGAAATGTTATAAACAACTTCATGCCAGTACAGCTTAGCAGAAATGGACAAATAACATTGAAAGATACAAGCTATCATAGGGAGAAGTAGATAACTGAATAGCCCTGTATCAATTAAAGAAATGGAATTTCCTGTTAAAAGCCTTCCCTAGAAAGGAAATTCTAGGCCCAGATGATTTTATGGGTGAATTCTACAACATTTAAAGAAGAATAATACCAATTCTACAAAATCTCTTGTAGAAAATTGAAGAGGAGGGAATATTTTTCCAACTCATTTTGAGGTCAACATTAACCTGATACCCAAACTAAACAGACATTGCTAGAAAAGGAAACTGTAGGTCAGTACTCCTTATAAACATAGATTTAAACACCTTAAACAAGATTTTAGCAAATTAAATCCATGTATCTATATATATGGGTTTAATATGTAAAAAGAATGTATATGTTATATATAAAGTACATTATGATCAAATGGGGTTTATTTCAAGAAAGCATGCTAGCTTAACATTTGGAAAAACGATGGTAACTTGTTCATCATATTAAACTAAAAAAGAAAAACTGTATGATCATCTCAATAGATGCGGAAAAAGCATGGACAAAATCTAACATTCATTCCTGATGAAAAACCCTCAGAAACTAGCAATGGGAATTCCTTAGCTTGAAAAAGAGCATCTATGAAAAATCTAAAGCTAACATTGTACTTAATGGTAAATGAGTGAATAATTTTCCTTTAAAATCAGGAATAAGATAAAGATATTCATTCTTACCACTTGTATTCAATACTACTAGAGGTTCTAACTAATAACTTAATAAGGCCATTTAAAAAAAAGCATCTAGTTTGGAAAACCACCTTAATTTGCAGACATTGATTATCTATATAGAAAATCCTGTGGAATCTACAGAAAAGCTACTAGGACTGATAAGTGAGTTTAGCAAGGTTGTGGGATCAACATGTTGGTTGTACATGTTGATCAGGTTGTAGGATACCTGATCAACCTGCAAAAACCAATTGTACTTTTAGCAACGTATCATCAGAAATTGAAATTTAAAAATTGAAAGCCTCAAAAATATGAAGTACTTAGGGATAAATCTTGGCAAAAGATGTGAAAGACTTGTGCATGAAAATGACAAAACATTGCTGATAGAAATTAAAGAGGACCTAAATAAATGGACACATGCTGTATTCATGGATTGGAAGACTCAATATATTAAGATATCAATTTTCCCTCAACCTGGACTATGGATTCAATACAATCTCAATTAAAAACAGCAAAATAAGGGCCGGCCCCGTGGCGTGGCGCACTCGGGAGAGTGCGGCGCTGCGAGTGCAGCGACGCTCCCGCCGCGGGTTCGGATCCTATATAGGACTGGCCAGTGCGCTCACTGGCTGAGCGCGGTGCGGGCGACACTGCACCAAGGGGTGTGATCCTCTTACCTGTCACGAAAAAGACAAAAAAAAAAAAAACCCAGCAAAATAAACGTTTACAGAAATTGACATGCTGATTCTAAAGTTCATATGGAAATGTGAAGGACCTGGAATAGTCAGACTAAGTTAGAAAAAGGTGAACAAAGGACTTAACACTACCTGCTTTTAAGATTTGTTACAAAGTTACAGTAATCAAGGCAGTGTGGTACTAGCATCAAGATGGATAAATAGATCAGTGAAAGGAAATGAAGACTCCGTAAATAGATTCACACATGGCCAATTGATTTTCAACCAAGATGAAAAGGCAATTCAGTAGAAAAGATAGTAATTTTTAGTAACGGGGGAACAATTAATCCATGCTTCACATCATATTTAAAAAGCAAGTAAAAAATGGACTATAGACCTAAATGTAAAATGCAAAATTATAAAACTCCTGGAAAACACAGGAGAAAATCTTTGTGACTTTGAGATAGGCAGAGATTTCTTAGATACTATTCCAAAAGCAGAAAAAAACTAATAAACATGACTTCATCAAAATTGAGAACATCTGGTCTTCTAAGAGACTGTTAAGGGTATAAAAAGGCAAGTCACTAACTGTAGAAAATATTAGCAAACTGCATATCTGGTAGAAGAATTGTGTCCAGAATGTATAAAGAAAGTCTTTGAGACTGAATAATAATAAAACGAACAAAAAATGGGTAAGGGATTTGAACAGACACTTCACAAAAGAAGGTACACAGAAGGCACATTAAACACATGAAAAGATGCTTCACATTAGTTGTTAGAAAATGCAAGTTAAGGGCCGGCCCAGTGGCGCACTGCTACAGTGCGCCGCTTGGGAAGTGTGGCGGCGCTCCCGCCGAGGGTTCGGATCCCAC